CAAAATAGTTCATCAACAACAGGTAAACACCATACTAAACATTGAATCGGGCAAAGAAATACTTTCTTTTTCAACACGAAACTTGAAAATGTTTCCAGCATACTTTATTTCAATGCTTACTAGACAAAAAATAATAATATTTTAGAGAGTAAAAATTCCAAAGTAATTACAGTGTCAGATTGTTTCAGATTCCTTCTTCACCACTATTTACATTCTCGAATACATTTTAGTGAGAGAAATGAGGAATAACTAAAAGAAAGACTTGTTCCCTGAACTGATTTTTAATAAGAAAAATCACCATCTAGTTCATAAAGACATTTCAAAACAACTGTTAAATACAAATTTCATTTATATTTTCACTAAACTACAGTCACAGCACTTCTTGTAAAACCTCTTCAGAGGCTGAGAGAGAGAGGGGCACAAATTCCAATTCCTGAAGACCATGTGAACAAAACACAATTTGGAAAACGTAAATGTTGTCGAGTATAGGATTCAGCCACGCTGCCCAACAAAAGAGAGGAAGAACATATAAGGCATAGGCACTAGTGATCATAATCCCTTTGTATGGAATTAGCTGAAGCACTGAAGAGCCATTTGCTATACCCCTTCCATTCCTGTTACCCTCTCTCCTACACACCCCAAAACTCAGAGAGGTCCCTTCACCACCACTGCACCCTAGGGAAGCTTTATGGAGCCCTGAAAACTGCAGCAGCAGCTTGGGCTAAAACCCCTCACTGCACCACAAGTTACCTATTGTCTGACATACGGTCTGATCACATACTACCCAACCCTCTCCAACTACTTAGCCAGGCAGGGCAGAGCCAGCAGAGCAGAAGGTTGCAAAAGGAGGCTCAGCAGGAGATGCCGATTGTTGTTAGCAGTTTTAAACGGTTTAACGCATACCTGGTGCCAGAAATAGGGCACTAACTGAAGATGCAGCCATCAGTTATCAAGATACCAGGCATTCTGGACTTGGAGAGAGGAGACGTGAACATTACTCTTCCATCCTAGTTCTATCCAGGATGGAGGAAGCATGGCTCAAAAAAGACTATGATTTGGACAATCAATACATTTCCATTTGCTAGAATGCAGAAAGCCATGAGCTACTGAATTTTGCACTACTGGCAAACCCTGTCCAATTAGCCTACACAATGTTTGGGAAGTGGCATATAACCCAACCCACAGGAAACCCTGCAAAACTCAACAGAAGGCCAATAAATCACAGTTTCTGGTTTTTTGTGTAGGAAAGTATCTCTGGCAAAGCCAGAGTATTTTTTCTTCATCACATTTACTTAACTTTTTCACCTCTTACACTTGCCTTGGAGAGTTTCAGTTCTATCCCTAATCAGGAACACTATACCTAAACACAGGCATGGGCCAGTGCTGATGAAGGCCTCTGTATCGCTATATAAACACATATCAACCACTATATCAACATGTGCATCCCTTGCTTAGCCACACACTCATGCCCACTCCCACTACCAGCACCAATTCTTGGGCCCTTTTAGGCTATTTTTTATTGAAGAGCACCAAGCTGACTAAAGTTCCCACAGACATGCACAACTGCTCACATCAGCGATGACACACTCCAAATACCTAGAAACTCTCCAAGCCTGCAATGGCCCCTGGGCAGCCACCTACTCCTAAAGGGACTTTCAACAGAGACGAGATCAGCAAACATATCCCATAATCCTAGAGCACAATAAATGGCCCATGGAGCATGGGATTTGTGATAGCGAAATTACAGACTGTAACAGAGTACAATTTCCTGCATCCGTTGACTTGAGTCTTTCTCTTTATAGCAAGTTTCTCAGTAACTGGATCTTCCTCCTGCTTGGGAGATGACCAGAATTCAATCTTTATCAGTTTAATGAGTAAGATTTTCTTTATTGATTCTTCTGCCTATTACTTCATTACTTCTCATAGTCCAAAGCATTTCCCCTAAAGGGACAGAAAGGGTTCCCCTTGATGGTAAATGAAATCTTTTTGCCCTTCAGTCTCAGCACTCTTCTCATTTACTTCTTACACATCTACCTGAAAAATCCCATAGAAGAACAGTTCAAAGATGTTCGTCTAAGCCTGCTGGGATCTTCAAGTAACACCTTTATGGCAATAACTACCCACTCATTTCACAGATTACACATTCAAATGCCAATTTTGTTAATTATTTCAGAGCTTGCCTGTCGGAGGAGAGTAGAGGTACAATACTGTGAAATCAGCACTGAACATCCACAGTTTGGGTTAGACTTTTCACACCACTATCAAGCAGACCAGTTAAGTACAAATCGCTTCATTTTAATGAAGACAAATCAGTTTTCAACAGTTCAGAAAATACTCCTGCATTTCTTTGTCTTTTCCTCTCTCTGTTATGCCATGCATGAGATGATGTTCAGGAAAGCGTTAGTGAAACCAGTTATGCCCATTAACACACAAAATTGCCTAGAACAGAAAAATTCTTAAATAGTTGCTGTCTATTCAGCTAGCAAGCATCATCCCCAGGTGAAGTAAGTAATCAGGTAAATTCATCCACTAGCATTGTGCAAGGGGACAGAACATAAATCCCCGTTGCCTGTGCACTGCTCGTTGGTACCTATCTGCTGGGCAGAATCCGCTCGCTGGAACCAGTTCATGACCTCGTAGCAGCATGCTGAATTGGCAGCACTGTCAGAGAGGCACGCAGGAGCCCAGAGACTCACGAGCCTCTGAGGACCCACCGTGGGATTCTCCAGCTGCCCTTCCCGGGTTCCTGCCTGCAGCAGCATGGCCAGGCAGTGACCTGATGCTGCTGGCAGCCCACCCGGGCTTATGCTGCTTGACACTGCTGAGGGAATTGCAGAGTGCTGCGGAGAAGAGAGGAAGGCTCAAGAAGCAGCTTTTAATTTTCCACAACTTTCGCTGCACTTTTTCCTTTTAGCGCAAGCCTTCCACATGGTCTCACTTCTGTTTCCCCACATGACTAACAGATTGCATGCATTGGAGGCACCCGGGACAAAAAGCAGGGGATCTCCCAAACCCTCCTACACTGTTCTCTCTCAATGCAGCTTTTATTCTGTTTTCCTCCTATCTACAATGAAGATACTAAAATAATTAAAGCAACGATTTTTTTTTTTTACCTTGGATAAGCTAGAGTGCTTTATGCTTAAAACCATGACAAATGTGCTCTTTTGTTATTTACACAAATTAATTTTAGAGCATTTTCCTGATGGACTGTTATTATTACATAATATGTAATCTGAAATGAACACAGCATGAAAAACTTGAGAAGAAAAATTTTATAACTAAATAATTGAGAGAATAGTGTTATAGCACTTAGCATTAACAGCATGATTCAGACAGAATACAGTAATATACTGAAGTAAGAATGTCACTGTTAGCTCTTTCAAAGCACGAACAGAAGAAAAATCTGACCATCTCAAGAATAAAATCCGTGGAGTCACATTCCGGATTCTTATCTGTTGGAACCGTAACAAATATGATAAAACCTCTGCACATAATTGGTAGATCTTTCAGAAAAGAACATCATCTTGTCTGTTAGTACAGCCTGAGGGAGAAAGCAGAGGGGACGATAACAACTTCCATAATCCTTTGCAATAGAAGTTTTCCCTGCTTCATCTCCCCCTCTCCCAAAAAAAATTAAAACCAACTAGCTTAATTATGGGAATAATCTAGTCGGAGTACAAACACTGGTAGAATTTTTGGTCCATGACGCAAGCCTGAATAAAATACTAACAAAACAAAAAACAAAACCAAAAAACAAAACCACAACATTATCTTGACTTGGAATATCTTGTTTCAGTATAAAAAATGGTCTTGCTGAAGCATGAAGAACACAAGGCCATTCCCCTCCCTCCACGCCCCTGTTTATTAACAGATGTGAAAACCTGGTTGCTTCATTCAGATGAAGATTTCCTAATACAAATATACATCTTACCCTAACTGAAACCACGGGTGGTATAAATGCAAATTTTGTAAATCACATAACTTCAAGTTTGATAGTGAAACTTCTGTTTGTTGATTTTCATTGCTAAACTCACACAATGAAAATACAGTCAATTTCAATTACATATTTTTAATCTTAAAATGTTTAGATTTCAAGTACTCCATGATATATGGCTCTTTCAAGATCCAGTTCTGGAAAAATGACTGTGTTTTTGAATTGTCCATTTGAGATCACATGCACTAAAAACAACTTGGAAGTAAAATACTTTTATACTTAACATAGAGTCATTAGTGAAAAGCTGGTACAACAAAACATGACTAATTATTCCCTCCTGAACTGACAATACTTGAAACAACATTCTTAGCTGTAATTTCAAGGTACTTAAAAACAAACCAAAGGAGCTCTGCAAGAAACCCACCCTTCATTAGGTATTTGAATCAACTGACTTCTGCCTTTTTGTAGCACTGAGATATGCTAGATATACACATATCAATGTTCAATAAAGTTTTTAAAAAGTGAAGATGCTGCTAGAAAAGATGATACTAATTCAGATGCAGAGTATTAACAGTCCTCTACCAGTGAGGCAGAATCACATTTTATTTCAAGACCCAGTATTTAAATGCAGGGAGTTCAAAGAACATCTGATGAGAGCTGAAGAACAGCCATTCGGTCTAAAGAAGCTGTGATTTCAAAGGAGAAAAACAAGCAGCACAAAGGCCACCAAATACCCACTTCTACTTTTCACCATGTGATTACAGTTCAGTCATGTAAGTCAAAACATGTACGTTAAAATTCTCAAACTTCACAAACCCAGCTGTCATCCTTCATTTCTGCTATCTTAGTCAGCCATCAAGTAGTCTAGGAAATGACACAAGCTCATCAGAGCTCAGCTTCCTTACTTCATTTAAGATTATGCTCACTGGCTGCCTGTAATAAAAATGTGTATTGAAAGATCCTCTGCAATCTTTTCAGAGCTGAGATCAGCTGTCAAAATCTACTTCAAGTACAGTTGCATTTAAAAACGAACCAAACCACAGAGAAAGAATGTAGGCAACTTTACCTTAATTGGAGCACGGCTAAACTGTATTTTTCTGTTGGCTGGGATTTCATCTTCATCTGGCAATCCATTAATTTCAGAATATTCCATATCAGGTTCATAACAGTTATTTTCATCACTGTCATCCTGATCATCCTGTTCTGTACCTGTCTCTCCCCAGTCAGAATTATATCTCGATCGTACCCGATAGACACTGTAGTCAGAGTGCATATACACGTGGGAACTCTGGAAATTATTCACATCTTCACACACTTCTTTTTCACTTGCCTCATCACAATGGGACTCGGTAGCATCCGAAACAGCATGCGTGACAAAATCACCACCTGAAGCTACATTTCTTGGTAATTCTGCAGCTTCAGGTCTATCCAAGATAGCCTCTGCATGTTCTGACCGTTCCTTCTGTTGCACGAAAACTTCTGTCTCTGTTTTTGACTTACCCCTAGCACAGCTGTCCACGGATCTTTCACTGCCAAGCACGTTGATCAAATCCTGCTGACTCGCTGCAGAGCTCTCAAGAGAATCAGCACTTGCCTCTGTACCCTTCTTTATTTCTTCAGTCGTTTTTGAACCTGCCGAAGTGCCTGTGGATGTCTTCTGTCTTAGTGTTGAAGGCGTGCTGTTCTGCTGAGAGTTCTCAACAGACATCAAGCCTGTACTCTGTTTGGCTGGCGGAGACCACGTGCTGGCATCTTTCAAAGGACTGAAACCTTCAAGGTTCGCAACTGGGGAGGAGATATTCGCAACAGTAGACGAGAGGTTCAGTGGATAGTGACCAGTTACAGAGTACTCTTCGTTGTTCTCTGACTTTTCCACAACGACTACACTGTGTGAGTCAGTGTTTTCAAAAACTGCACTGAGCTGACTCACAGTTGGAGAGACGGTCTCTGTCCTTGGGCTAAGACTGTCCAGTGAATCAGTGCTGCCTCTGTGAGACTTAGAGCTGCACCATTCATCTGGAAGCTCATTGGAAATTACTTTCTCTTTCTTTGGGGAATAGCGATTGGAATGTCCCATTTCATGAGCGTTTCGCTCAAACATCTTCCGAGTTTCAGTAAACTTGGAGTAGGAAGGACCATCATGGACAGTATCAAATCTACTGATCCTTTCCGAAACAGATGATTCCAACTTTACAATTGAACCATCTGCTTTTTCTACAAATTCTTTGGGCCTAATTCGTCTTTGAGGTGATGGAGGGCCACCCTTCCCCCTGGTTTTAGGGGTAACTCCGGCACTTTCAGTGGGCTCCATGCCCATCTGCATAAATAAGTTCTTGATCCTATTGACATTTGAGCCATATTTCCTTCCCCTGCTCTGCGAGGCCTCTCCTTCCTCTTTCGTTTTTTGGTCTCCATCTGATTTCGGTTTGTCAAAGGTACTTTTCAGTGCCTGGAACTCAGTTCTGTAAGCATTCCTGTGAGGAGAGGCACTTCGGAGGGTTGATCTTTCTCCTGAAGACTCCGTTTTCATCATGTTTACTCCAGGAGTGCAAAACCAGCTTACATAGTTCCTGCGGTACTGCTCTCAGTAGTCTGTCACAGCTGAGATTCTGCTTGAGGAGTGTTCTTCTCAGGGGACACTGACCTTCACCAGGACCATACTTGACAGACAAATACCTAAACGCATGCAGTCAATTCTGACAAAGTAGTGCAATCGAGGACTCTCAAGAACAACAGCTGATTTAACCTGCAATAGAAAGGAAGGTTATCTGAATCATGTCAGGTACTCACACTTCTTCAAATCTAAGACACAATTTCCATTTATCGTTATTTAACATGTTTACAAAAAAGGAGTAAAAAAATACAACCTAACACTGCAGTGACACCTGAAAACCTGTCACTGCAATCTTTCTCAAATTGACTGTTACATAATTTGCAATCTATAGTATCATTCCATAATGAAAGAACAGATTATCGCATCTTACTGTTTGCAAAGTACCATACCGTGCCACAAACATGCATCCAAAGGAAAGGCAATGTGACAGGAAAAATGACACTATTTCTGTGCTACTGAACTTTTCTAAAAAATATAGTAAAAAACCCAAAACAAACCTCTGAGTTAATTACTTTATAGTTAGATGTAAGTAATACAAAGATGATGGTTCTGCTTTCCTGAAGCACTGCAAGACAACCCTTGCTCTCTTGGAGAAACGTAATGGTAGAAATACCATCAAACATAATATACTCAGAAAGGCAAAATTAAACAGCAGCTCGAGGGAATAAGAAAAACTGCCCCCAAAGTTAACATCTTCAGTTGACATGGCAGAGAAGTGAAATCCAGTCAGAGAAAGTTGCCCCTTGTCACGGGCAAAGGTTTTAGCACCTGGAAGAGCCTGGAGGTGCCTAAGGAGGAGCTGCAGACACGGAGCCAGGGACTGGATCCGCTCCCAACCCCAGCCCGGGA